TCCATACCTACTGGTTGACCTCTGCCCCAAGCCCTCTGAGTAACCACCTCTGGGCTGCTCTGGTCCTCCCTTGAGAGCCCCCTCCCCTCACCTCTCTATGACCTAGCAACTAGAAGGTTTATCCCTGACATAGCGAGGGCCCTTCATGTATTTCTGCTCTTCTCTTTAATATTTCCATACTTCTTCTTTTGGAATTAATTTATTTTTCTTCCTCGAGTATCTTGAGTTGGAAGCCTAGATCGTTGATGTTTGACCTTTCTTCTTTTTAAAAAGATGCATATATAGCTATAAATTTCCCTCTAAGCCCTGCTTTAGTTGCATCCCACAAATTTTGATGTCATATTTTATTATGATTTACTATAAAATATTTTATAATTTATTTTATAACATCTTATAAATGTTAGTTCTTTAACTCATGGGTTGGTTAAAATGCTGCTTAATTTCGACACATTTGAGGACTTGTAGTTATCAACCTTTTGTTGATTTCTAGTTTAATTCCACTGTGCTCAAAATACATGTCTGTGTGATTTCAACCCTTTGAAATTTGTTGAAACTTGATTTTGGCCCAGCCTGTGGCTTATTTTGGTGAATGTTCTATGCAGACTTGAAGAAAGAGTGTATTTTCTGATTGTTGAGAATAGAGTGTAGAACTTACCCTTAGGGTGTGCCTTTTCTGGGGTTTTGACTGAAAGCCTGGACTATTTACTTATTCCCCTCCACTTTACTAGGCTTGAACTTCAATCTCTGTTGCCCTAGCACTGTGTAGCTGGGGAAATATTGCTCGGTTGAGTAGACCTTCAACCCCTGTTTTCTGCTGGATGTTGTAACAACCTGCCCTGCAGTGGTAGTCAGCCTTTAAGATGGTCCCAATGATCCCTGCCTCCTAGTAAGCATGTTATTGTATAACTCCCCTCTCCTTGACTGTGGACTTGACTTACCAACTCACCTCTAAAAAATAAAACATGGCAGAAGTGGTGGGAGTGTCACATCTGATATTAGATTATAAAAAGACTATAGTTTTCATGCCCAGTTCTCTCTCTCTCATCACTCACGCTGGTGGAAACCAGCTGCCATACTGTGAAGCAGCCATGTGGAGAATCCCACATGGTGAAAGATCAAGGTCGGCCAGCAACCAGGTGAGTAAGCTTAGAGGCAGACTCTTCTTCCTACCACATAAGCCTTCAGATGAAACCACAGCCCCAACCGATAGTTTGACTGCAACCTCTTGAGAGACCTTGAGCCAATGACTTTATGCTGCACCTGGATTTCTGACTTGCAGAAACTGTGAGATAATGTTTGTTGTTTTAAGCCATATAGTTTTAGCATAAATTGTTATTCAGCAAGAGATAACTAATACAGAGAGAAATGGAGAGAAGTAGATGGATTCAGGAATTTTTTGGTTTGGGGAATTTTTGTTTCTGTTCTTGAGAACATGCTAACAGGACCTACTTAGAATGGGTATGAGGGAAAATAAGAAATAAAGAATTACTCTTAGGTTTTTAGCTTGAACAGTTAAGTGAATAGTAATGCCATTTACTAAGATTGAGAAATTTAAAGGAAAAATCAGTAACCATGTGGAAATGTCAAGTAGCAAATCAGATTTGCTAGAAATCAGATTTGGGGTAATAATAGTATCAAGCTCACTGGTTGTGAGCATTACGTGAAATGATGCAGATAAAATTCTATGCACAGTGAACACAGTTATTATCTGTAGTGGGTAGAACTGTGTCCCTCAAAAAGATATATTCAAGTCCTAGCCCCCAGTACCTGCGAATGTGACCTTGTTTGTAAACAGGGTCTTTGCAGATGTAGTTAGTTAAGATGAAGTCATACTGGATTAAAATGGACCCTAATTCAATGACTAATGTCCTTATAAGGAGAGAAAACAGACACCCACATACACAGAGAGGGGAGAATGTCATCTGAAGACAGAGACAGAGAAGGGAGAGATGTAGCTACAAGCCAAGGAATTACCTTAGAACCATTAGAAGCTAGGAGAGAGGCATGGATGGTTTCTTCCTCAGGACTTCCAGAAGGAATCAACTCTCCCAACACATTGACTTCTGACTTCTAGCCTCCAGTACATTGAGAGAATAAATTTCTGTTGTTTTAAACCACCTAGTTTGTAATAATTTGTTACAGCAACCCTAGGAAAATAATAGTATCCAAATAAACATGTAATGTGAGTGGTGATCATTGCTTCTATTATTCGTATTGTATCACTGATGTTATATGTCCAAACACCTAATGCATTGTTTTGCGTATATAGTAGGAACTCTGTTCACAATTACGGTAATGTAAAAGATCTGTGATTTCTGCATCTGGGCAGCACTCTCTGAGAGTCATACTTGGGAACAGCCTTTCCTGAGGGCTCAATCTGAGCGGTGCTGGCTAGTACTCAAGGCCTGGTATTCCTCAGGAGCGCATGGCCCTCCCAGACCAATGGTGAAGAAAGGTCGCTGTCAGGCCTAAGTGCGATTTTAGGGAAACTTGGCAAAACCCTCTTCTCTTCCTTCACTTCCCATCTCAGTGTGTGATAAGCCATCAGTGGACATTATTTCTTTTTTGGCGCTTAAATTTTTTTACGCGAAGAGTTAGAAAAGGAATAAAAATCCAGATGTTCCCAAACTTGGGGAAAAATTTGTATCACCTGGAAGAACGCGTTTAAAATGTAGATTCTTGGGCCCCTTTCCAACTCCACTGAGAGTCAGAATCTCCGGGGCCAGCCGGGGCTGGAGGAGGGCTGCAGCCTACGTTTTCAGCAAGCTCCCCTGCTGACTCTGATGTCACCCGCTCAGACCTATCCTCAGAATATTTGAAAACCACAATTCCTTCTATATACAACAGAGAAAACTGAGGCAAAGAGCTTTCAGGGTATGCCCTAGGCTTCCTTGTTTTTCAACAGCACCTTGAAATATTTTTTAAAAAATTTTTTTAATAAAGGAGAGATTAAAATTTAATGGAGAAAAAACTAGTAAAAAATAAAGTGAACACTGAGCCTGAAGGTGAGGCTACTAAAATAGGGGTAAGAGGTATGCACGGAAGCAGCCTGTGGATTGGGAGGAATTTCAGGGCTGGCCGGGCTTCTCCATATTGGAGCTGTTCCAAAGAGGTGGCTTGGTTTGCTTTTTGGTTTTACCAGAGCCCTGGCGCCCTCTACCGGGCAGGCTGAGCAGTCCAGCGTTTACGATGAAGTGTGTTCTCTGGAACTGTGTTTTCGCTTTGGAATCAAGATTGTTTGTTTCCCTTCATATATTTTGGGTACCGTGTTTGTTTTTTCACTAAATTTTTTCTATCTCCTCTGCTTTAAAGTCGTATCCTCCTTATCTCTACAAGTAAAGTCGCAAGTTCTGCATTACCCCAGGACTGAGGACAAATAGGTTTAAAGATACTTTTATTTCAGTTTAGTCCCAGGCAGTAAGGAAAACATTTCAAATCTCTTAAGCCCACCGTAAAAAGTGTAATTTATACTAGAGAAGTTGTGCTGTCATTTAAATAAACTGCAATTTAAGATGTAATTCAAATGGTTTACACTGGATCCCCTTGCCCAAAGGAACATAGAAGTTTCCTTAGAATTTACTTCCATCGGTCTTTAAACCTGGTAAAGAGTTCTGATTATAAGAGTGATGGAAATCGGGAACTGGTGGTCCCAAAACAACCCTCTGGGATCTTCTATTCCAACTGCATCAAGGTAAAGAGAATACGGGTTTATGTGAGTAAACAATTTGTTGAAGAGATTTGAGCTGAGAGCTAGACAGGTGGTACCTAATGTCTGTGAATTCGGCTCACCAATTATATGTTCGGCTTAGCTTCAGTTCTCAGAATATACCAAAGCAGAGAACTTGCAGAGTTCTGCCCACTCCCCACCCCCAAGTTCTGCTAGGTGAAAACCCTTTGAAAATCCTGGCAATCACAGGCACCAATTAAAGTAGTCAGCTAATTAAAGAAAGGCAAGTGGAACTTGAGTTTGTGTATTCACAAAGCCCATCATCTGATTTAGGATCTGGGCATGGAGAGAGGACACTATTATTGCTTTTAAAAAGAAAAATGGGCAAGAGATTGTGTATTTTTAGAACCATCCTTCAGCAAATGGGATAATTTCAAAAATAAAGTGGGAGTAATGAAGAGAAAAAAATCCAATAGTTATGTTCAGGAATAAAGAAAGGAAAAGGGATCTCAAGTAAAAGCAGAATTTCTCCAGCAAGTAAAGGGTTACGACTATTTTCTTTTGAAACTTTGAAGAGGAAAAGGGGAGTTGACCAATGGGCTCTGCCTACTGCCCGCCTCTCCTTCCTCCCCCGCGGAGGGCGCGGCGAAGTTCAGCACCTCGGAAAGCGCCCCCACTCTCTGCGAGGGGTTTACGCATGCTCTTTGGGAGCCCGCAGCCTCGGCTTTGCGGGTGTAACTCCGCGAACGTCTTGAGAATTTAACTCGGGTGAGCGGAGCTGGCAACTCACTGGGAGTCGACAACAGCGGAGAGACGAAACGTGAGACAGCGACAACGACATCGAAAGACCTCCAGAGAGTCAGAGCGAGGTAGACGGAACTCTCCTATCTTTTTCTTTCAAAGGACAGAAACCTCGTCCAAGCAGCAGCAGAGGAAGCGACAAAGGTATTTGAAAGAGAAGGCGCGGGCGCGCAATAGCGGTCCTGAGAGGCCGGGTGGGTTATACGCTAGTGCCAAGTGACAACGGGAAACGCAGGGGTGAAAGTCTGAGTCGTACAGTAGAGACCCTGAGACTCTGACCTTGGCGAGAGAACACCTGGACGCTGACTGTTCGCCTTGGGAGCTGAGCTCTGCTCAACTCCCCTCCAGAGCCAACTGAGCGCAACTCCTGGGCGCCCGGGACGCGCTTGGCGCCCAATTCCTAGGCTCTATCTTCAGCGGCTGCTTTGAAAGCTCCCACTCATGCCCTGCGCCCTCGTCCCGGGAAAGACCCCTGTGGGAGCTGGACTCTCTTAGGTCTTGTCCCTGGAACATGACCTAGAGGCACCTGAGCATGCAGGTGGGCGTTCGAGCCACGATAGCCACCATGAATAAGGCGGCTGGCGGGGACGAGCTCGCAGAACTCTTCCGTCTCATCCCGGACCTTCTGCAGGCTGCCAACAGCAGTGGCAACACGTCGCTGCAGCTCCAGGACTTGTGGTGGGAGCTGGGGCTAGAGTTGCCCGACGGCGCCGCGCCAGGGCATCCCCCGGGTAGCGGCGGGGCGGAGAGCGCGGACACCGAGGCCCGGGTTCGGATCCTCATCAGCGTGGTGTACTGGGTGGTTTGCGCGTTGGGGCTGGCGGGCAACCTGCTGGTGCTCTACCTGATGAAGAGCAAGCAAGGCTGGCGCAAGTCCTACATCAACCTCTTCGTCACCAACCTGGCGCTAACGGACTTTCAGTTTGTGCTCACCCTGCCCTTCTGGGCAGTAGAGAACGCTCTCGACTTCAAATGGCCCTTCGGCAAGGCCATGTGTAAGATCGTATCCATAGTGACGTCCATAAACATGTACGCCAGCGTCTTCTTCCTCACCGCCATGAGCGTGGCGCGATACCACTCGGTGGCTTCAGCTCTTAAGAGCCACCGGACCCGAGGGCACAGCCGGGGCGACTGCTGCGGTCAGAGCCTGGAGGACAGCTGCTGCTTCTCGGCCAAGGCACTGTGCGTGCTGATCTGGGCCTCGGCCGTGCTGGCCTCCCTGCCCAATGCCATCTTCTCCACCACGATCAAGGTGATGGGCGAGGAGCTGTGCCTGGTGCGCTTCCCCGACAAGTTGCTGGGCGGCGACAGGCAGTTCTGGCTGGGCCTCTACCACTTGCAGAAAGTGCTGCTAGGCTTCGTGCTGCCGCTGGGCATCATTAGCCTGTGCTATCTGCTGCTGGTACGCTTCATCTCCGACCACCGCGTGGCAGGGACCGAAGGAGGCGCCCCAGCGGCTGGAGGAGGCTTGGCTGGAGCCAGCGCCCGGAGGCGGTCTAAAGTCACCAAATCAGTGACCATCGTGGTCCTGTCCTTCTTCCTGTGTTGGCTGCCCAACCAGGCGCTCACCACCTGGAGCATCCTCATCAAGTTCAACGCAGTGCCCTTCAGCCAAGAGTACTTCCTGTGCCAGGTATACGCGTTCCCCGTGAGCGTGTGCCTGGCTCACTCCAACAGCTGCCTCAACCCCATCCTCTACTGCCTCGTGCGCCGAGAGTTCCGCAAGGCGCTCAAGAACTTGCTTTGGTGCATCGCGTCGCCTTCGCTCACCAGCATGCGCCCCTTCACCGCCACCACTAAGCCAGAGCCCGAGGATCAGGGGCTGCAGGCCCTGGCGCCTCTCCACCCGGCCGCGGAGCCCGACCTCTACTACCCGCCTGGCGTGGTGGTCTATAGTGGGGGACGCTATGACCTGCTGCCCAGTAGCTCCGCCTACTGACGCAGGCGGAGGCCCAGGGTGTGCAGACACTGCAACGTGGCCTTCTCTGGGAGGGAAAAGAGGAGAGTGCATTAGGGGATGCTAGCCCCCACCCCCACCCCCATCAAGGGGCAGGAGTGACGAGAATGGGGAGAAGAGCAAAGGAGCAGCCTGTGATAAGGCTGGGGGACCCTCTCAGGAGAGGAGAGGCTGCAAAACCAGGTGGAGATCAGCGTCAGAGGGCCAGGCCACCGGCCTCTGTCCCACTTCCCTTCACACACTCTCCCTCTCTTGACTCTGTTAACTCTGGGCAGTGTGGGGGCGCCCAGAAGCGCGGAGAGGCATCAGGAATGTAAATAAATTGGGGCGCGAGGAAGTGGGGCTCAGCCAAACGGTGCGCAGACAATTGAGCCCATTTATTCCAGCGACTTTTATGGAGCCCTTGAAAGGGTCCCCAGGGTGCATCCAGCCGGGAGAGCCACCCACAGAACATTTCCTTTGTGCCCTGGCCCGCGATTCTGCCGCGAAGCGAAGGTCTGCCTTGCTGCCTGTCTGCGCCAGAAGCCTAGAGTTTGGGAGGAAGAAACTTTTTCCCAGTTCGGAGAAGGGAGTGACAATCTTGGTCCACCCCTAGGAGAAAAATGCACCGCTAGAGAGGCACCTCCCATGAAGCCATTGTATGGTTTATCGTCCCAGGCTGTGCGAGTGGGCACACGGGGAGCCCTACCTCGACTGTGCACGGCCTTTGCCCCCAGATGTGACCGGGAGTAAAATACTTGTCTCCTGCGAGCAAGAGTGATTCGCTGGGGAGGGGCGTTACTGCGGGAGGGAGCGGATGCAACGAGATTAGAGAAGCTGAATAGAGAGACCTCCTCAGGCTACTGCCCCTAAAGCGGAAAAGGAGCTCACGTGCTCACTTGGTAACCCAGCAGGAAGTGTGTGCACCATGCGCTGGAAGCCTGCACGCCCCGGTTGACCAGAGAGTATGTGCGTGCGTGGAGACGCTGCGCGCTCCGGTCTGCGCGCTGCAGGTGAGCTGTACCCAGGGGCAACTTGAAAATGTCTGAGTAGAAACGCTACGGTGAGTGGGGACTTTTCCGCAGCCTCTCCCCTCTCACTCTTTGGATATCGGGGTGCCCATTTGATTGAGGCTCTGGACCAGTGAGTACAGAGAGGGATGGCTACGCCACGTTTTTTGTAGGCTTAGCTAGAAGGTTAAGAAGTGCTGTGGAAATGTGCAGGGGGTACTGAAAACCAAATTCCCAGAAGCTGGAGTCTAATCTCTCAAGAGGAGGTGTGGAGTGGGAAAGGGGATGCAAGACTCAAGTAAAATCTGTCCTAAAGGGAACAGAGTATTCACCGAGAGCCTGTTCTGAGGGGAATCCCCATAGGACACTACCTTAGCCAAGTTCCACTCATCCTACAGAGTGCTCTGCACATTGAGCATGCATGATGAATTCTTCCTTAACCCCCAGACAGTCTATGAGACCATCTCTGGAGAGTGATACATTTCTCATGACAGCTCTGTTCTGGTCACAGCAGTTTAGTCCTTTTTTGAGGCTGCTCAGAGAACTGGAACCAAACATCAGACTACCCATCGATCTGCCAGCTTTGACAGAGGTGCTCCTGTTCTCTTTGGCAACCTAGTTTGGAGTACAAAAAAGGCCATGTGGGCACCTACTGGTGTGAATTATTTTAATGCAATAAATAATCATTTTACAAATATGTCTGCTTAAATAGCCTCTTGAACTGTAAACTGTTTTGTAATTTTGTTGGAAATTTCCTGTTGGGTCTGAGATTTCTGGCTCAAAAGGTGAGATCTATGTCCCCGGCATTCCTTATCGCACTCTCTGTAACACAACACAGTGCAATTACAAATGCTCGTGCTTGGCCACAAAAACAAAAGCTGCCTGACCTGCTCAATCCTGAGCAGTCTTGAGAAGTTAGCTTTCTTAGAAAACAGAATAATGCTTTTGTTTTAAAGTAGGCAAATTAGTCTCTCTTTGCCCTTTGGGAAGAAAACTGATTGATATAGAACAGCAATTGTGTTCATAAAGATTGGAACGTAATCCCCCAGGTCCCCAAAATACAAAATAAATGAACAAGTAAACACCTAGAAAGAACAAGGAGTAGCATGGCAGTGTATTCCTGTATAACGCTGATATTAGACTCCTACTGAGAGATTCTCTTTATTCAAGCAATTTGCCATTTCAATTGTGACAATAAAATAATGTGGAGCCTGCCTGGTGGCATAGTGGTTAAGTTCTCGTGCTCTGCTTTGGCAGCCCAGGGTTCACAGGTTCGGATCTTGGGCGTGGACCTAGCATCGCTTGTCAAGCCATGCTGTGGCAGCATCCCACGTAAAATAGAGGAAGACTGGCACAGATGTTAGCTCAGGGCCAATCTTCCTCAAAAATAATAACAATAATAATAATGTGTGGGTAGCTCAGGATTCTTAGGAAAGTGTGTTGAAGTATGTGCTTCTGCTACGATGGGCACTAGAAAAACAGAAGGGTCCAGAGACAAGCCCTTCATGAAAGAACTCCACAAAAAGGGTCAACTTGTCCCCATCCAAACCTGAGGGCTTCTGAGATCATGACTTGAGGAAGCAAAGACCATGACTTCTGTCTACCACAAGAACAAAAGAATCAACAAGGAAGTGATCAAATCAGTTGAAATCAACAATTTATTTTTTGAATGCCTATTGTGTGCCAAGCCGCATACCGGGTGTTAGGATCACATACATGAACCAGACACATTCCTGACTTCTACACTCAAAGGAGATACAGCCATGTGCACGAGGCAAGTAAGTCATGGAACAATGAGTTCAATGTCATGGTAAGGACTAAAAGAAGATGCTGTGGGAATACAGGTGATGGAAAGCTTGTTTCTGCTGGGGGATCAGAGACCTCCTGGTCAAAGTGGTATCTGAGATGGACCTAGAAATATGGGTACAATTTAGACAGGCAGAAATGTCAATTTAGACAGGGAGTGGGGATGTAGAGAGGAGATTGGAAGCTGAGGAAATGCAGTGATCAAAAAGGCTTTGAGGTTAGAATGTCAGGTGCATGGGGTGGAGGGAGGGAGGAAGCAAAGCTGAGTGGCTTCCCTTTCTCCTGCAGGATTTCTATTAAGTTTTAGGTGTCCCTGCAGTTGTTTTATTTGGGAATGGGACATTTTGTCCCAGAGAGAACATGTCATTGGTATACAGAGAACAAGCACTTGGGTTCCCAAAGGTAGTTAAAGCCTTTTTAAGTTGGATTCTCTCCGCTCATTCAAACCTCGGTGGAGTTAAGTTAAATGAGTAAAGTATTTGAATATTTGAGCGTGTGTGGTGGGGGGAAATATGCATGCTCTAGCTCCTTTCCTTATCCCACTAGCTGATCCAGGGCTCCATCTGAAAAGAGTTTCACTTATAATAAAGACCGTGCTGTGGCTGGCCACAGATGACTACTTTTGCCTTCTCGAGGGTCCAGATTAGAAGGCCTTCAGCTTCAGGTGACACTTCCAGATCACCTACTCCTTCATTTCTAAATCTTTAATCACCAGAACAATCCTTGGAGAAGTGATCATGAAATAAACACTGAACTCTGCAAATGATTCCATTTCTAAGCTTTGCAGAGACCAAAGATGGGTGGGCAAAGCAAGAGAGGTGGCTCGGTGCTGTTTCTTTCCTAATGCTGGTGCTGTGTCCCCTTGGGTCCTCTGAGCACTTGCTCACCATCATCCACATTGTGGCACTGGGAGTTTGCCTTGATCGTTCCTCTAGGTCAGTCATGACCTTGCTTCTCTGGAACTGATGATGTGAAGGAGAGAGGGAGAAAGGAAGCCAGGGGAAGATGCAGTTGTTTCGCATCTGACCTCCCCAAAAGAATGAGATGACTTCATTTGGGAATAAATATACCAATATAATTCAGGGGGACCTGAGTGGGGGCAAAAAATGAGACGCACCATGAGGAGAGGCTTAGAGCAAGGCTCAGAGTGAAACAACAGCACACTCAGGCCTGAGAAGACAGCCCAGCCAGGTCTGGAAAGAATCGGGGATCTGGAAAACATGGGATAAGCTGTGGGAGCCTGGAGTGCCTGGTGCCGGATAAGGAAGCTGTGTGTTCTGCAGGTGGCAGTTGAGCAGTGGGCAGGAGGGAGTGACCACTTCAGTGTAAGTCCCCTGTCCTCCCCCTCCCTCTCCACATACACACACAAAGTAGAAGTGGCCAGATCCACCGGGTGCTCCAGACATACCCCAACACGCTGGCACTGCCCGGTCACAGGTGTGATAACCCAGTAGCAGCACAGAGTGGGCTCTTAAAACGAAAAGGAGGCAATCAAGAGAATTGCAGCAGCAACCTGTGAGCTGATGCATGGCAAGGGGAGAGAGAGTGTGAGACAACAGAGATCCAGTTTGAGACCATCGGAGAATTGGGAAAGAGAGGGAGGCTGCAACACAGTGACACTGGATCTGCTCTCTGGCTACGCTCTCAGGCTGGTACTCTTCAGTACTGCCCCTAGACTTGGCTTGCCAGGGCCCCTGCCCTGGGTTTGTTTATTAGAGGGCTTTGCTCAGCCTTCTCCTCCCAGCTGCACCACTCCCCACACGGCAAGGAATCCACAGAGTCGCCTGGAGCCTGTGCCCAGCCCCCCTTACCTTCTAGATTATGCTCCAGTACGTGAGACCTCAGAATTCCCATCTAAATGGCCCTGAGTCCGTTTACAAGGCCTTCATGGATCCTTTCTTGGGTCCATCCTCCAGAGGGCGTACCACACCACTGAGTCTGCACTGGTGGGTGTGAGGGGTGGCTGAGGTGTGGTAGTGGGTAAGGGGTTGGGGAGGCTATGGATGTGCCAGTGGAAAGTGCACACCAGGGCGCTCTCAGTGCTGGACAGAACTAAGAGTGGGAGGAGGAGGGAAGTGGGATGGGCTGCAGACCTTCTTGGCCGGGGCCCTGCAAAAGTTAGCAGTGGGCCTGTACCCCTTACAGACCCAGCAGTTGTGTGAAAGAGGACCCAAAGCCTTCCAAAGAACAACCAGAGCATGTTTCCTCTTCTCAGCACCGCTACCCTAAAGGAGCCAACACTGCAGGGGCCTGGCCATGCTACTGAACCCATCCATTCTACTATGCATGAAGTCAACCAAAGCGGCAGCCCAAATCTTAATGTCCCTGTTCTCAAAGGCAGCTCATTTCCTTTCTCCAAAACCCCTTCCAGGATCAAAGGTTTTGGTAAGTTAGAAATTCATCTGAGGCGATGACTACACTACCAGACTCTAAGATGAGGTGGGAGAAGGAACCACATACATTTTTAACTTGTAAAAACATGTGGGCAAATCTCCATTCTGCACTGCTCAGGCACATCTGGAGTTGTGTAGACAAACACCCCAGAAGGACCGGGGCAGATCTAGGCATGGGGGAACAGGATGATGAGCCTTTAACAATAGTGACAATAGTCGTCATTCATGGAGCGCAGACCAATTGCCAGCCTCCATGCTATGTGCTGTTCTCCTGAGAAACAGCAGAGTCGGAAAGCCTGGGTTCAAGTCCCAGCTCTGCCACTTACGAGGTGAGTAGCTTCAAGTGAGCTACATGATACCTCACTGCCTGAGCTTCCTCGTCTACCAAATGGAGATCAGTAATAGCATCCACCCCCAAGACTGCTGTGTTAATACATGGAAAACATTTAGAACAGTGGTAAGCACTCAGTAACTTAGGTATCATTACCTATAAGACATAGGTATTATTAATCATCACAGTTCTCCGAGGTAGGAATTGTTACCTGAAATATATAGACAAGCAAATGTGGCTTGAGAAGGCTCAGTAGTTTGCTGATGAGCAGCAAAGCTAGGATTCAAAACAAGCCCGGCTCCAAAGCTCGTGGTCTTTCTCTTAAACCATGCTGCCTCTCAAGGCTGCTGAAAACTATCACGGAAGATGCGCTTGGAGGATATGGCTGGAGGAGAGAAGAGAGACACTTCGAGTGGAGAAGAGACGATCATAGGACAAACAGGAGGCTGTTTTCCAAAGACTTTCAATATGGACCCCAGAGGGGTTCATATGGAACAGACGTGCAGGCTAGAGAGAAATATTTTTACTGTGTCAATGAAATGAGCTGTGTTAAAGTGGTAAATCCTCCAGCACGAGACGTTCAAGCAGACTTGTCAGGGATATCATAAATTAACATGAATGAATTACGAGCAAGTTAAATATGAGTAAATTAATATCATAAAATAAATCACCAGCACTATTTTGAGTATTGGTGAATTTGATGAAAAATGTGACCCTCCCAACTATATATGGATCCCTGGTTAAGAAAAAAAAAAAAACACATCATAGAATCAATCCAAGCATCACATGTAGAACGGTCTGCAAAACGTCAAGGCCTGAAATGCCCGGTGGAAAAGAGACCCCGCTCCTCCACGCCCCGGCACTGAGAAAAGCACATGTAGGCACTCTAACCCACACTTACCCATTGCCACCAGTGAACAGAGGCATAGCCCAGTCTTTCCTAAGACAAACGATCTCTGAAATATGGTGACTGTTGTGCAGAGGGCTGGCTGAAAGAGAGGCAGACAGATTACCGCCCCTAAAATCATAACATGGGCATCCAAAGGGCAAAGCTAAAGAAAAGATTGATTTTCTTCCATATGCTCCACTGAGATTGGAGACAATGTCTCTTTATTGACCTACGCCACATATCTAACAAAGAGAACCACAAAGCAACAGCCGATCAGCGCCACCACGGAGGCCGTGATCACCACGACGACAACACTCCCTGCTATGTTCACCAGGAAGCCCAGGCCACCTCCGACCAGGATCTGAGCCAGCTGCACCATGCAGGTGAGGGCAGCACAGTCCAGGCCCTGTCCTCGCCCACTGCTGTCCACGTCCCCTCCCTGGGCCTGCCGCCTCTGCAAGGGAAACACAGGAACAGCATTTGATCTAGACGAACTATCCTCGGGGGCAGAAGTCAGCAACGTTTCTCTGTCAAGAGCCAGATAATAAGTATTTTCAACTTTGGAGGTCACATGGTCTTGGTTGCAATACACGACTCCCATTGTAGTGCAGAAGCAGCTATAATACACAAGCCATCTGGTGTTCCAATATAACTTTATGGACATTGGTATTTGAATTTCATGTCATTTTCACTCGTCACAAAATATTATGCTTCTATTGATTTAAAAAAAATCATTTAAAAATGTCAAAAGAATTCTTAGTTCACAGACTGTACAAAAGCAGGTGGCAAGCCACATTTGGCGAGTGGGCCATGGTTTGCCAGCCCCTGATTTAAGGCCACCAGGAGGCTCCACTCTCCTGCCTGAGGCTGCCTTCCCTACTTGCTTCAAAGTCTTCAACTCCACTGTTAACACCTATGAGGGTTAAATGGTTAATACATGCAAAATTATCTCTTCCTAAGAAGTCAGTAAATTCAACGTAGTAGAAACTCAATCAATAGCCCATTTCTTTCCTTCCCTTAGTGTTAAAAATTCAAACATTTTTAGAAGGATGTTGAATCACTGATATACATAGGAGAAGCAACATAAAAAAGCAATTCACCCTTTCAAAACATGTTTGATATTTGGTTAATATATTAATATTGATTATAGTTGATATTTTGTCTGAATTTGTTCATAGCGTTGCCAGTTATTGGATGTCTTTTACGTGCTAGGCCTTGTGCAAGGTTCTTTCACATATGTTACTTCATTTCATCATCACCACCTCCCCAGATGCCCACATTATTATCATGATAACAATAATACTAACTACCATGTTTTGAGTCTCTGCCAGGTGTGAGGTAGGCAACGTGATAAGATCATTACCTGTGCTTTTTGTTTAATTTAATTTTCTGATAACTCTATAAGGTGCATATATTGTTCTCATTTGATTGATTAGGAAACTGAGGCTCAGAGTTTGAATGATCATTCCTATGCTATTAAGTAAAACAAAATCATTGTGCAGAAAAATGCCTATGATCCTTTGAACAAGAAACGGGAAACAAGAAAACAGATTCTTATTCGCTTGATTTTCATGAAAAAATGCTGGAAAGATAAAAAACCCAAAAGAGTAGAGGGAAGGGTGGATGAGAGCCACTTCTCAGAGTATAGCTGCATATCGTTGTGATTGTTGAACCATGAGAATATATTACTCCATCTAAAAATGAACTCATTTTAAGTGATATTTAATAAATAAATGAATAACATCCCCAGTGTCCCACAGCTGCCAAGTGGGGGAGGCAGGATTTGAATCCAGGTTTCAAAGCTTACGTGCTTTTGCCCTAGTCCCATCCAACTCTCTCTTTGGGGGGACCGTTCTTTTTGATAGCTGTCTTTTTAACAGCAAACCCCTGTCACGCGTTGAAACATTAGTGACAACGTTTGCCAGGGGATAAGGACTGCCACAACTCTTGTTTGAACGGTTTGAACTCGTGGTGCAATTCCACCCTGCTGCGTTTGCTGGATTAAATGATGGAAAAGAAAGCCGGCATTGCAGTCATGTGCACGTGTTCAGTGTTTTGGCAGTTTCATGCTGTGGTGGATTAAACTCGAAGGTATCTCTTTAGCTTTTACATCACTGCTCCAGGTAAAGAAATGTAAGCCTATTTTCATGGGGAAAAAGTGGCATATATTGATAAGAAAAGGAGGTAATTTTAGAGCAGAAATACCCAACCTAGTGTTCTTTTAGGGCTTTATTGCCTGGCCCTCTAGCCAGAGCTCCAAGGTGGAGATGGGCCTCCCTTGAGGCAGCTGGTGGGGGTGACCCCCTGCAACCCCAACCTTCTTCCCTGCACATGGGGTCTGACTTACTGAAATCGGGACTCCAAGGAAAACATTGCCTAAGAATTTCTTACCCTCAACCAATAACTCCCAGAAATCCCACTATGCACCTCTGCAGTGCTGGGGGTCGGGGGGACCCGGAAATGCTGCAGGTGTGCTGGACATTGGGGCAGTTGTCAGAATCCCTGGGTTCCCCTTTCTTTGACCCTATATGAGTGTAGGCTGGTTCTCAGCATTCCTGAGCCCTCTTTTCCTAATCAGACAAATGTGGTTAACGGTACTGCCCTGATGCTCCCAGGTGCACAGGGCTTCAGAGTAAGGAGGAGAGGGGTGGGCTGGGAAAGCTGATCGTGCCTTGGCCGGACCATCATTACATGTGGCTGGGCACTTCAGGGCTGCTGTTTCAAGCTCTGCTCTACACTTTCGTACCAACTCCCCCAGCTTCAGAGGAGTCCAGATGTTACCCAGCACAGAGGGTCAATGACGCACCTGCTTCTCCTGCTCCTCGCGGTGGTACTCGGCAATGAGGTTAAAGGGCACGGTGTACAGGGTGCTGGACATCACGCCGAACGAGGTGCACAGGACCAGGGTGGAGTAGATGTTGGGGAAGAGCCCGATGAATCCTGTCCCCAGGCCAAACAGCAAATACCCCATGAAGTAAAGACCCTTTAATCCAACATAGGATACCAAAACTTTCTGAAAGTCTGTGGGGAGAAGAGAGGGAGAAATTACAGCTGACTGTGTCTCACCACATTTAATAATTTCAGATAATCCCTTCTTTTGAGGATTCACTTTTTTTAGAAGCCTTCCTTTGATACTGAGTCAGGAACAAAAGAACTTCCCTATCTGTGCTTGAAAACAGCTGGCTTTTGGAATCCGTTTTAAACCCTTTGCATAAAGGAGAGCTGGAAATCGCCTTGCTAGGTTGATTTTCTTTTCCACAGGGAAGGAGGACCAGGCACTGTGTAGCAGGCAGCTGGATAGCAACAGCATGCAACAGGGGTGGTGGGAAAGCCAGCCTTGGCTGTGGGGCCCTGGGGCTGCAAGACATGGACGAAAAGTGGGGGTCATTCTGATTCACTGGGATCTAGGCTAATGGGACCAAACAACAACCCAGGCTTATCTTGGCCCCATGGCCCACAGCCAGGTTGGAGGAAATGAAAACAACCAGATTTTACAGAATGAGCCAAATCCTCTTCTTTGCCCCGCAGCTGAATGCTGTCTGCACACCTGAGAAGGAAGTCAAGGATGTGCATTATGTGCAGACACTTTTTCTGGCTTCCAACCCTTCCCAGGCTGGTAAGGGGCTCCCACTGCACCTGGCACCTCCCCATTGCTGGCTCCCTCACCCTCTACGTACAGCCTCCTCAACTTCTCAAAACCTCAGCTTCCTCATCTGAAAAATGGGACTAATAAAACCCTTCTTTGGGTTGGTAGTCAGGATCAAATGAGATTAAATGTCTGTGAAATCACTCAGCCCAATGCTGAGAACATAGGAGACATCCAGGTAGTGGTGGCTGTCATTACTTCAACCAATACAGGCTGGGCTGAAGATGGTTCCCTTTGAACTTGGGTCCCCTCCCATCAGGTAAATTTGGCTTGCTCACAAAAGTACGGTGGTAGAGCTCACTTTAAAATTTTGAAAATTCTGCCTTAAAATGTTTTACACCATGGCAGGAAAAATTGCTTTCAAAAAAATCTTCCTTTTTTAATCAGTTGTTTTTAACCCATACATTCCTTATCTTTCCCCTGCTCCATTCTACTGAAACACACGAACCCAGGGGATAAACAATAGATACGTGAAATGTGCCTATTCAGGAATGAAATTTCCCATATCTATCCAAATAGTTATTGGACTTACACCACATAGACAAGAAACCTAACCTGTATTACATTTGAATCAATTATGAGACTAAACACTGTCTCAGGTCATCTGATGGAAGACTGTTCTGAAAATGATAAGTGAGCAACATTGCTTCCTCTATTAAATTCACCTTGGAAGGCTGTTGTCAAGGTTGAGAATGAAGGCAGTATAAAGCCAGGTCAGTTTCTGTTTGCTTAGTGATTTTGTTTATGCAGTAAATGCAATCTAACATGTCTCAATACCTAAAAGATATCATCAATATTCATTAGGGAAATGCTCTCATGCAAGTGTGTACGCCAGCCAAGGAGAAAACAAAGAACGATAAAGAGCTATTTGGAAACATAGATAACTTCGGTACAAAGACTGAAAGTCTGGCAAAGAATGCTTTATCCATGAAGAGAAATCAGTAAATTTAAGGGCCAAGCTGACTTACCCTCTGCTGAGTCTGATACCCAGTAGTGGTCTTATCCTTACACTGTGCCTCTCGTTAGGACTGGAGGGAAATTTAAGTACGAGTTATGAATAGTAGCGTATGATATGAACAATTGGCTATATTTCAGTACTCAGTGTTGCTATTCTCATTGATCTAAGTGTGCCTGCCATGCAAAAGGAACTTGAAAACAAGTCCTTTATCACCATACCCCACCTGCCACCCCAGCAGCCAGATTGCCCTGTCAAGCTCCATCTGGATAGAAATTTGAGATCTGCACCTGATGTTATGTGATGAGTACAAAAGAGAAGGTTATATAGTGTGCTCTGGAATTTAAGGAAATGATTGATTCTGCCCAGGGTGGGTTGGGGTGCAGGGGGAAAGAACTGAAAGATTTCACAGAGGAGGTAATATTTGAGCTGGGTCTAAAAGCATGACTAGGAGTTGTCTAGTGGGGAAGTAGAAAGAGCAACTCAGATAGAAGAAGACAACAAAAGCAGCAGCAAATATACAGAGATGAGAAAGTCCGTGTAGTGGGTCATCAGGGATAGTTAATCTGTGTGGAAGTGAGAGAGGTCAAAGTTTGAACCAGACCAAATGGAAAATCCTAGAATTCCAAGCTCAGGACTTTGACTTTATCCTATGGGCATGAGAGCCCCTGAAGATCCTTAAGCAGGGTTGGCTGGTATTTTATAAATAAAATTCTAGTTCTAATTCACAATGATAGGGATCCCAAAGATTTGTATGTGAGTATAACTTTGGAACACGATTCAAATTATAGTTTATTTTGTACATAGGGCTTTTAACTAGGAAGGGCCTAAAAATAACATGCTTTTTAATTTTCAAATGCCATGAAACTCATACAGGAACTCAAACTAGACTAATGGAATAGTACTTAGTAGGGATTCTTTGAGGGGGAAAAAAGCTAAAATTGACACAAAATTAAAATGCTGATTATTTGTGGAAAAATGTGTTCCTCTTACAAGAATAAAAGTCATAGTAAATAGTCCTCCCACCTCTTGAAAGCACAAAGGGACTAAGATGGATAATTTATTAGATCGTTTTAGTCTAATGCTCCCTAATTCTATTTTAAATACTTGAAGTTTTCCTCCTGGAATTTTCTTAGTTCATATACTCTAAGAGCAAAAGGGAGAATTTTGCTAAGGAAATGTAAGATTTAAGCCACCACTATTTGGTTGTCATAAATTTAAAAATAATGAATGTTATGGTTTTATGATTATTTGGCTCACTAATTCCTTGTATGTTTATATTAGGTCCCTTTTCCCAATTGTGCTATATTTTGAAGAGATTTTCTTGATCTTGAAGCAGATTTCCTGCCGTGCTATGGCTAGGTGGAAGGCTAAACACCAAACCAGGGGTCATTGTATATGTCACCCTCTTGCCCCATAAGAAGCACACGTCAATGATAGAATGATGCCTCTGAGAATGGTAACGGGGAATGTCCTACATCACCTCCCCCTGCCCCACCTGGGCCATCCCACTGCCGTCCCCTGGGCCTGTCCAAAGCCTAGAGCTCCAAGTCAGGGACCAGTTATTCTCCCCACAATCCTGGAGGAGCTCCCATTATCAGGAGCCCAATTTCCACTCCAAATAGGGAAACTGCATACATTTTATAGGCCAGACTTTTCACTTGATTCAATGTATACAGGGCTTGGAGATTTCCAACCACATTAGCAAGCACAAAATGAGTCTATGTGATGCCCTGGAGTTGAAGTAACATCAGTTTGGACTTATTTAAAACCAATCGAAGAAATCCCTTTGTTTACAGTGTCCTCACAGCTGAAATTTAGCTAAGTGGGGGTTAACAGGCTCCAGACCCCATGGAAAGCTGGTACCTAAGAAAGAAAGCCATTACTCTCAATCCTGGAACAGTGCTCCTGTAACATACCACCCTGCCCATCTGAGCGAAGATCATTTTACATGTTAATTTTGTCACCTAGCATATTAACCATCCCTGCTGTTTTGTGTCATCCACAAATCAGATAAGCATATCCATGAAACTCCGCCAATGATCCAACTCCAGCAGAACAGAGACTTGCTGCCGATCACCACTTCCAGCTGGAACTCCATCCTTCGTCCGTCCAACACTTCACCATCTTGTTACCTGACCTCCATATATTTATCAAGAATCTAGTATTTTAAAGAGCAAATAATAAATATAGAAATATAAAATGCAAGATTCTGCTAGACCAGAGCTCTTTAGAAGACACTCCTAGAAAGAGGAGACTTACAAGAATAAAGTGAGGAAAACACGGAGTTGATGCACAAACCCCAACATCCAACCTCGACCCCTCTTTGGTAGATGAGAAACTCTGTGGAGTTGTGTGCACTATAGGGATCCCCATGGTACACAATCTGAAAGAGAGATTTGGGGTTGTTGAGCTACAAATGCAGTGTGATCCTTATCATATACTCTGCTCATATATGCCCCTTCTCATATACTCTGCCCCTCACATATGCCCCTTCTCATATACCCTGCTCTCCACCCATGAGGAGCTTTTCCTAGGGCACAGACCTCATTCTCCCATGACCATGTCACCCCTTTCATTCTTTCACACCTCTACTCAAGGACCTAAGGAAGTCCTAAGGCTTACTACATCAAGCCTTAACAAATCCTATCCTCTCCCTGGATCATTAACACTCCTCCTTTCGCCTAACATCTGGCCCAACCCAATTTAGGCAACCCATCTTCTGGTACAGACAACAGGCTTCTGACTCATCTCCAAGCATGCCATTCTTGTTCCTGCTCGGAATGTTTCCTCCCTCTCCTCTCTCTTTCTAACTCCTACCCTTCAAGGCCCGGATCATGCTGCACCTCTTTTATTAAGCCTGTTATGACCACTATAGCTCACATCAATTTTTCCCTATTTGTTGTATTTAATCAAGTACTGGTCCCATAGTGTCCTCTCATTGTCTAGGGTGTAGTGACTTGCCTCTAGAAACTGTCTGTAAGCCAGCTCCTTGAAGGTACTCCTTTCTACATTTTTACCGTGCCCATCCTAGAGGTCAGCCCAGTAGAAACTTGACAGGTGCTGAATGAGGGATTGATGTGCAAGTCAATGATTGTGTGTGTGCAAAGACATGTTCATTACCTGGCCCATGAAATCTGTGAAGAAGAGCATGTTGGACAGGAAGGCGGTCCATCCAAGGAGGTGGCTGATGCAAAGGTAGCGGTAGTGGGGAGGCATACTCACCAGTGCCCTCAGCAGTGACTTCATGGTCATTGTCCTCCGAGTCTGGAATAAAACATGAGACAGGTGTGACCTTCAGAGCAGACATGCAAACTAGCTGTGGGAGACAGAGCACACAGCCATGTTACGTATCTGTCAGTCGATCATCACACAGGGTCACACTTTGTGGGCATGGCACCACGGTTTCCATGAAGATGTCTCATAGGAGGTGTTCTGTTAAGTGTGGATACTTAGCAGTTTCAGGCCCATAATGGGGCTTTGGGGACCTAAGGGTGAAGGGACTGGAAAGGGAGATTTCTTTGGGCCAAGATGTAAGAGACATTTAGCGTCCTATCTTTGAAAGACAGAACCACTGCATGAGGACAAAGCTCACAGATCTAAGCTAGCCCTCAGATGATTATAATTCTTAGATTTCTTGACTCAAAGTGTGGTAGGCTGAATTCTGAGATGGCTCCATGATCTCCATCCCCTGGTGTTACCTCATGATTATATTATGTTATACAGCAAAGGAATTTTGCAGATATAATTAAGGTTACAAATCAGTTGACTTTGAGTTAAATCAAAAGGGAGATTATCTGGGTAACCCTAATCAAATCACATGAGCCCTTTAAAAAGCAGAGAGTTTTCTCCTGCTGAGAATAGAAGGGGAAGTCAAAGAGTTTCAAAACACAAGGATTGCTGGCTTTGAAGGTGGAGTGGGCCATGTGGAAAGGAACTGAGAGTGGCCTCTAGGAGATGAGAGTGACTCCTGGCCAACAGCCAGCAAGAAAACAGAGACCTCAGTCCTACAATTGTAAGGAACTAGATTCTACCTGAATGAGCTCAGAAGCAGATTCTTCCCCGGTTGAGCCTCCAGATGAGAATGTACCTCCATTGACACTTTGATTTCAGCCTTGTGAGACCCTGAGCAGAGAACCCAGCTGAGCCCATCCAGACTTCTGACCTATAGAACTATGAGATAATGAATGGATGTGGTTTTAAGCTGCTAAATTTGTGGTGATGTGTTATGTAGCAATAGAAAACAAATACAGAGAGCCAATCAGCTCTCTGCTCTTGGCCAGGTACCTCCTTCTAGTTTATTTCCTTGGATCCTGCCACCAGCCAACACATGTAAATGAGCTCTATGTTGAGTCAGAATTGAGAACACTTAGAACACACGCACACACACACACACACACCCCCTCACACACACACACACACAAAATGAGCACATGTGCCCCAAATTTTTTAATTTAGGCTTAAATTATGTTAAAACTGGAGGCTACAACTTTTTGGTATCAGGAGCCTTGAGAGAATGAGAAGTTTTGAACTATTGAGACACTGTTTTGAAATACAAAGAATGAAACAACCTTTAACACCTTGTCGTATAAGAGAAGAAAGAAACCTTGGAAATATTAAGCAGTCGGCTGCCTTGAAGACACTGAGACTGTAAACATCAACATGGCTGGTTAACAGGTCTTTCTTGTCAGATTTTTATTTATTCTGAATCTTGACATAATGAAATTGAATCCTGGCTGGTTCATTTACAAGACAGTCTCCTGAGCTTTTCTTTTTTAACTATAACAGTATATTATTTTAAAATTCTTAACCTTACATAATTATGCTTTTTACTTCTTTATTGTGTAAAATTATATTTACTCATTGTAGGTTTGTGGTGTAAGTTGATTTTTTAATTCATCAGTTTTGTAGTATTCAACCTACTGACCACGACTGAACCAGTTTTCTTTTACTTAATCTCAGTATTAAAAAGTATAGACATTCCCTTGGAGTTGGGAAAAATAACTGTTTTCTGCATGTAAAATATGGTACCTGTCAAAATAAATGGCGACTGTAACAGAAACTCAATGTAGAATTATTACTTTTTACTCAACCACAGGAAGAAGCAGCGAAAGGTACAGATGGAGAAACAACAGCCTGATTTTCACGCCTGAGACTAAATGATTTATCTTCACTTTTCTTCCCTTCTTTCCAAAAATGCAAAATTTTAAAAAGTTAATCTGGCCAGCAAGAGCTCAGCCTCATTCCAAATATTAATTTATGCTGCCTTATACATAATTTTCACCCTGCTTTTATTGTTAACCTAATTTTTCCTTTCAACCAAAAATAAATATGAGCTTTCATATTGTGCCCAGTATTTCTGTAAAAGCTGAGAATGTAAATATCCAAAGCCCCTTTGGGTATTTTAACTCAGAATGAAAATTCAGCTGGCATCTTATTCCCTGACTCATCAATTCCCTTGGTAAAGGCCTCTTGTTGGTTCAGAGCCTCCGGGAGTTTTACTGCATGTATTGTGTGCCTTCATCAACTGGAGATTGGGTGGTGATGGATTCATAAGTGAAAAGGCACAGAGCCATTGGGAGGGAAGAGAACTTTGCAAAAGTACACTCAAAAGAAGCCTACTGAAAGGTTGAACTGAGCAATGGTGATGTGAGAAACTGCAGATGGATTTTGTGGGATCTGGTTTGAACCCTGAAATAATTCAGGTTTCTTGCCATTAAAAAAAAAAATTTCCAGTTCTCAAATTGTGCAACCACCTTCATTTTGGAAAGTAATGACTTTGACAAGCAATGACGGCCAGCGTCCCGGCCCTGATGTCGGGTAGACTCCCATTGCTCAGCGGGACGCTCCCCAGATGCACATTTGGAATAGAAGAGCTAGTTGCTTGGCTTTGAGCCTAAGATATGTTACTCTATTTTTTATTCTCAAGTTGTTTTATTTTGTTTTTAAATCAAATAAAATCATTCACAGCCTATAGTGTGTATGTATGTGGCACATACTAGAAAGTTAATTGTATTTGATGCATTTATTTTCTTATGAGTGTGGAGGGTTTTAGGCCTTCCATAAGACTTCTACACACTTGATTTCATATGCTCCTCACAACATGAGTTGCGAATGGAGTGAAACAGCCTCTGTTGGGTAACTCTTTGGCAGGAAGTCATAATCTATCAATGGGGCAAAGAGGCCGGGATAATCTCTCAGGGTAATGTCTACTTACCTGTAGTAGAACCCTGCCTTGTTTTGTTCCTTAAACCATGACATTATTTTTTCTTTATTTTCAAAGTAATACTTGCCCATCATAGAAATGTTGGATATACTGAAGGGTTTTGAAAAGAAAATTAAAACACTTGTTACCCCATCACCCAGAGAAAATAACTTCAACTAACATTGGGATATATATCCTTTCTTTTTTTCCCTGTATATGTGTAGCTTTGCCCAAAAAGGAGATCATTTTGTATGTGTCTGCGTGTTTTATCTGAATATTATGTCAAATAAATCTTCAAAAACACACACATCTTTTAATGATGGCATGGGTTGCCTTGCAGAACTGTACGACAAGGCAGATCCAGGCTAACTGGGATGGGCAGGGGGTTGGGTGCTCTCCTGAGGCAGCCTGGTGCAGGGAAAGGTGGTCTAGCCTGGCCTCCGGAGATGTAGATTCTCACATTTTCTCTATTTGCTGTGTGATCAAGATAAAATGAAGGCTTCATCCCAATAACCTCTTAGTTTATCCAAACCGAGGATGCTGTCATTTGGAGGAACAAATTTGTAATACTAATCTAAGAAGTGAAGATATTTCTTGTGGCCTGAGGATGGTTCCAGGCTTCTCTTATGGTCTAACATTTTCCAACTGGCTTCATCTTCCCTGGTTCAATGCCCTGAAAAGAGTAAGAGACAAGAGAACCAGAGGAAAAGACATACATGTTTCCTTTTGGGTGCAAAGTTTTAATTCCAAGGGATAATAGCTACTGGGGATTTGAGGATTCACTTAGACTTCACAAAACTCCACACATCAAATAAGCAAACAAAACAAAGACAAAGGATAATAAAAAAGACGACGACAAATAATAATAAGAAGAAAGGGTAAGAACAAGAATATTTTTCCCAAGTAAAGAAAAAAGAATTTGCATCCTTACCTGTTGGGTATTTGTTGTTTTCTCTCCCTGCAGCACCATCTCTGGGTTTATATAACCGTTTTTAACTTTCTCGATAGACCCATACTCATACATTCTGTCTGATGACAAGAGAGGGTCTTGGGAGTCTTGCTGGGGGGGTATATCCTTTGCAACATCTCTAAGTGGGGCTTCAGGAATACTGCACAGATGAATAACAACACACAAAGTAAGCATCAAGGCGGAGAAGAAGAACATGACCTGGAATTCTGTGCCCAGCATTCTTCCCAGTTTCAGATGCGCCCAGTCAATGGCGCCCAAAATGTAGCCCAGGGCACCTCCGAGACCTGAAAAGTAAGAAAGAGCTGCATTAGCATATTTAGAAGGACTCTCTCCCTTTCATCATGTGCAGGCCCATCCCGTCAGTGGGAAAGCTCCCTGAGGACAGCAGAGGCGCCTGGTTTTGACTGGAGAGGTAACACACAGCAAGAGGCTAAGAAACCTGCAGCCAGGAAGCATGGGTTCAAGACCCGGCTCTGGCATGTACGTGCTGTGACCTTGGACTTCGTCACTCATAATATGGGGATGATGACAAAAGAGTAACCTACAAGTAGGGTCATGACTGGAAAACGGAACAGTGCCAGATACACGGTAAATGCTTAGTAAATATTGCCACCATCAGAAGTCCTGTGGCCGTGCTAAACTGTACTCTTTACACACCTTTAGAACTAAAATTCCTGACCATAAAGAAAACCAATTTCTGAATGCAACAAAATACAATGATGCGTTTTGTCATTTATCTATTAATAAGTTTCCTAGGATGACAAAAGTTTGCAAAGATCAAACAGCCTTGGAACCTGTCTTCTTTCCTTTGTTAGAAGCTAAAGGTGCTTGTTTCTAGTTGATAGCCACAGGAAAAAAATAAGAGCAAAAATTTAAACATGAATTTTTAAAAACATTATTATTATCTCACAGGACTCTGATCTGAAGTCTTTCTGGTGTTTGTTTTACCTACTTTTGCTTAAAGACAGTATGACTTGAGGGACACTGAGGAAGGACTCCTCAAAATCGATCCCACCCTAATGGCCTAATGTTTGAAATCTTATTATTGGTGATTCATTCTTTGGGGTTCCTGAGTTAAAATGCAAGTGCTCTTGGTATGGACAAGGCATTTCACTACTCAGCACCAAAGGAGTAAGTGCTCCTCAGATGTTCCTCCTGGTGGCGGGCATCAGTGACTTCTGAGAGTACCAGGCTGAAGGGGCCAGACCATGGGGTGGGAGAAGGTCTGGAGAAGTAAGGAGATGGATGCCAAACACATATTCTACCTGAGTCAAGAGCTTGTGTAAGGCTGACACTCCTGTCACATACATTTACATGTTAGCCTCCATCACGCCTCATCAAACACAAATATTCACCCAGACACAACAGCTTGTTTCTGTTTTTGTTTTGCTTGTGTGAATGAAGTCTCCATTTTATTTCCCACATAAAGACAACATCCTCACAAACCAGAGAATCAAGGAAGAAAAGAGAACTCACGGAATTCTCTCTCTCTAACCCTAAATACCTAAACTTACATGAACCCTGACCCCAGGGTCACAAATCTGAATGCCAAGTACCATGAATCCTAATTTATGCAGAATGGGCGATTCTCGTCACTTCACCTCCTGGTTAGTTGCAATTTACCATAGAAGATATTTACAGATGAACAACTGTTTAACCATTGAACCCAAAAGTAAATAAAATTATCCTGCCATGAGTGCCAAAGCATTGGAAGGCAGAATTATGGGAAATGGTGGCCAATGGGGTGCAATGAAGTAAAACACACCTTCTGTGCCAACAAAAATATAAGGTCCAGTTACAGGTGATGGGTGTATAGATGAACAGGTAAATGGCAGATATGGTGGCTTGTCATGGAGGGTGGGTCCTAGGATCTGAGAGGAAGGGGATGTCCTTGAGGCAGCTGCATTCTGTCGCTGATTTAGAGGGCAGTTCTGGGGCTTGTGGTGCCTCTGGATCTCCATTAGACAATGACTCTCTTTACGCAATTGTGGAGATGCTGAGGGTGTCAGAGGCCATGTGCTGAGCCAAGCAATCAACCAATAAGAACACACTATAGGTCTAGCACTATCCGGGGGTCCATCTAAATCGGGGTTTCTCGATCTTGGCACTACTGACATTTTGGGCTGGATCATTCTCTGTCCTGGAGATCTGTTCTGTGCATTGTAGGATGTCTAGCAGCATTTCTGGCCTCTTCCCACTAAATGCCAGGAAGAACCTCTCCATCCCCACCAGCAGTTATGGCAACCAAAAATGTCTCAGACATTGCCTAACGTCCCCTCGGGAGCAAACTAGGCCCCAGCTGAGAACTCCTGACCTAAATTTACCCTATGACAAACTTATGCAACCTTTTTTTGAAACTATTTATCCTTTGTAACCAGATCAATGGTTGTCATACTGCCATTTAATTCTCTTATCATTTATGCCACTTTCCTTCAAACTTATTGTTTCACTGAGCAGAAAAAACATAGAACAGAAGACCCCTGTCCATTTGAAGGAATTGATACGTGAAATAAATCCTCCACTGTGCAATGGAATGGTGGTTTTATTTTATGAATATAAATACATAGATATTCACATAATGATGGGTTTATAGTATATCAATTGAGTCCTATAATTGGAGGGTTTCCTAGTCCAGTTTTATGTTGACTGGTTTGGCGTACTTCGATAAATATTTATTGCGTACTAAACATGTGTAAAGGACTCTACCAGCTTCTGGCAATATAAATCTACATAAGACATAGCACACCATCCCCTCCTCTCCAGAAGGCAATTCCAAGTGGGAGAAGCAGATGAGTCAACAGCTACTTTCAAAAAACTGTAACAAATGATAAGTTAGAACTAAAGTGAGATACACGAAGAATACAGAGGAGTCCTGAAGAGTGTATTTATTGCTGGTGCTTAGTTAATGATATCAAGATGATGTTGGTTATTAATAATTTTATAGGATTCCTCTTAATTAGCAATGAACATATCAATGAATCCAAAAATTTTCAGAGGTAGAAGGATGTTTGGAGCGTGTCTAGTTGAATTAGACTAGACAGCCACGGGCTACAGTGATTAGGTGACAGGAGACAGCATGGAAAGAAGGCGGCTGGAATTTTGCCTGATTTTGATTCCCATCCATGTGCTTTCCAGTCATGTGATCTTGGGCACTTCTCTGAGAACTGGGGGTGGTGACGCTTCCTCATCTGAGTTTCCTGAGGGTTAACATGACAATACATGAAAAGCACCAGCACATACATTGGCAGAACCAGGGCCCAAAACGAGGAAACCCTGCTGGTTTCCTACAGAAAACCTAATTCCAAAGCCTCACCCAGAAGCAGGAGAAGACAACTACCGCATTGAGGGTGACGAGCTGCCTGGAGTTGGTTGAAAGGACTTCGTCGTTTTAGGCCCAGTGATTAGGATCTAGGACTCTTTCTGAGGCCCGAGACCTGGGCTTACCACTCATCTAGTGTGGTGTGTGGCAAGTACTACAGAAGAAAAATTTATCTCAAACCGGAAAGAGTGAAAATTCTAAGTGCTTGATTTTTAAAATATCATTGCAAAGCAGTGCTTCCTAAACTTCAATGCGCACACGAATTATATGGATGTCTCGTTAAAGTGCACATTTTCTTAGTCCATTCAGGCTGCTATAACAAAAATACCATAAACTTGGCAGCTTATAAACAACAAACATTTATTTCTCATGGTTTTGGAGGCTGAGAAGTTCAAGATCATGGCACTGGCTGATCTGGAGCCTGGTGAGGACCTGCTTCTTCATTGACCGCCATCTTCTCAGCATAACAATGGCCAAAGAGGAAAGGGAGCTTTCTAGGGCCCCATTTATAAGAGCATTGATTCCATTGAATCATCTCCTCCAGGCCCCACCTCCTAATACCACCACATTGGGCATTAGATTCTCAACATCTGCATTTTGGAGGGATATGAACATTCGATCTCTATAGCACAGGTTCTGATTCTGGACATCTAGGGTGGGGCCTGAGATTCTGCATTCCTTTCAAGCTCCCCAGTGACACCAATGCTGCTAGTCCAAATATCACTTTTTGAGTAGCCAGGTGATAGAGCGGTTTCCAATCAACCTGCGTTACTCTCATCTGACATTCTTGGGGAATGGGGCTTTGTTGTCACAGGATATTGACCAACAATCCACGTCTGATAAAGCACGGCGATGTGCAGTCCTGTAAAATTAAGGTTAATCTGCAGACATTAATAGGGTTCTATAATTTGTAATATGTTATTGTAGTCTGGTAGAGAAATTAACCCAAAACTATTACAGAAGAGTTATAGTTTTACTGCCTTATAGAAGGTTAATCTACGTCTTCCCCATCAGTTCCATCATTAATCAGTTAAGTAAAACCTTAACGCATGCTACAAGTAACTTAGAGAATTTCCAATACTCTCTTCTCTTAGGGAGGGAGGAAAAAGACCAAAACAGACAAAACTGTTTTGTTTGTCCCAAAGCTACTATGAGATTAGCTAAAAATTACAATAGAACATGCCCTGAAGGAATAGTGAGCCATTTAGGGAAATTCTTCTAAGAGATACCACATTGAAACTCTGGATGGAAACATTTCATCTATTCACACCTTCAGATATGATAAGGGCCAGTAGAGGGCTGTAGGACTTCATTAAATGCTTCCCTTTTTGCTTCCTCGGCTTAAGCTAAGGATTTTATCTTCAAAGATAGTCTCCTAAATAAAGCCTAGTCATCTTAGCTGCAACAAAGGCTAACACCAACTCCCACGTCTACAACCAGACTGCATTTATCTCTACTGCCAACATCAACCTCATTGAGAATCCTGGAATCAATCACCAGGCTATTGGCCAAATCATAAGCTGGAGCATCCAAAGGCCATCTGCTGCCATATTAGATAACAAGCCTTTACAAAGAAGGGCCCACAAGTGGTCCAGCTGGCTCCTTCTTTACAGAGCCGGGCCATGTTGTCAAAGTCAGACCAGAGCCAACCTCATGAGAATGAATGGCTTGGGAGACAGATGCTATCTTTCATAATTAATGACACAACTTGAACAATGGTTCATCCTGGAAGAAGTCCAAGTATATAGAAACATGTATTATTTTTTTCTTCAGTTCACAACTATAATAGATAAAATGGGAAATTAGGGGAGTTTCAGGAAGAAAGAATCTAAAGAGTCTATATGCGTCAAACTCTGCACCTACCGTGTGCCTGTTCCTCTCTGCTTCAGAGGCATGGCTCAACAATCTCAACACCAATGGTGGAATAGCTCAAGTCAAGAAAGCTAACACTGTGCCACTGGCTGC